CTCGAGGATGAGTTTGTCACACCCGGGGTGGTAATTCGACTCTCGCTGAGCTGAGAGCCGAGCTGGTGGCCTGTGATCAATAAAAGTTTACTTGATTTCTCAAAAAACATGAAGGCAGCACAAAATTAGCTCGACCGCTGGTCTCGAGGATGAGTTTGTCACACCCGGGGTGGTAATTCGACTCTCGCTGAGCTGAGAGCCGAGCTGGTGGCCTGTGATCAATAAAAGTTTACTTGATTTCTCAAAAAACATGAAGGCAGCACAAAATTAGCTCGACCGCTGGTCTCGAGGATGAGTTTTTCCGACCCAGGGTCGTAGCTCGACTCGCGCTGAGCTCAGAGCTGAGCTGGTGCCCTGTGATCAATGCAAACTCACTTGATTTCTCAAAAAACATGAAAGCAGCACAAAATTAGCTCGACCGCTGGCCTCGAGGATGAGTTTGTCACACCCGGGGTGGTAATTCGACTCTCGCTGAGCTGAGAGCCGAGCTGGTGGCCTGTGATCAATAAAAGTTTACTTGATTTCTCAAAAAACATGAAAGCAGCACAAAATTAGCTCGACCGCTGGCTTCGAGGATGAGTTTTTCAGACCCAAAGTTGTAATTCGGCTATCGCTGAGCTTAGGGCTGAGCTATGTATTTTTTTCTTTTTTATAGAGCATTCGTTTCCTCTTTATCTTGCATTGCGCCATCTCTTTGATTATTTACGCGCTATTTTTCGTCACGAACCTTAAAAACGCAAGCGATTGTCATTTGCTCTCGTGAGTGCAAGTGCACTCGCGAAAATCCAAACTTTTTTTTCAATTTTCAATTCCATATCTTTGAATGAAAATTTATCTTTCGAATCTCATGGGTAGTCATTTGAGAAGAGAAAACAATGCTCTTTCACATGGCATAAATGAAAATTAGATCCAACCGTTATTTGGCCGAAAAAAAATTTTTTCCAAGAAATATCCAACTTTTGTCAAATCTGACTGCACCATTCGATCAGGACCCCAAAAAACCTACTCGATAGCAAAATCATGGCGATTCAGCTTATATTTAAGTTCTCAGGAATTATTGAACGTTCTTATTATGTCACGCTATATAAGTATACTTCAATTGCATTTACTTGAATAATTATTTAATATTAAAAGATGAAACTTCGTATTTTTTTTTTATTATAACGAATCTATACACAATGTATTGAATACGATACCGATACGATATTTGTTATAATAAAATATTGACAAAATCGTTACCGCTACAATATTACAAAATTGTATTCGACACAATGATCAATAATCAAAAAATATCGATATTGTCTTGTATCGTTACACACTAACTGGGTGGTTTACGTTTTTTTAATTAATCATACGAGTGCATCTGTTGAAAATATTCATCGAAATTCGAAAGAAAATGTATGTAGGATAATGATGAGAATGACGTATGCCTAATGAAGATGATTCATCAAATTTTTAAAATCTCTTATAATGAAAGAACAAAATTAATTTTGAATGTACTATTATGTTTCAATTCGTGACGGAGGGAACCAAGTAACAATGCGTTCGACGCATTCAATAAAAGAAGTAGCGATTTCGAGAACATAAGCACATCAAAAATAAACGGATTATTGAACACACTCATCTCGCCTATCTGAAAAATATGAAATTTGAATATTTCGTTGACTTACATACACGCGTCTTCATTAATTCCTTTTATGCGCTTGAAATATAGGAAGGGAAAAAATGTGGATACAGCAACGGCTATAGAGTTATATTATGTAGTGAGATTATCATATATTGCAAGTAATGGTAGTAAAGAAGCACGAAACGCATCTGATTCATAAGAGTGATATACGATCGATCTCTCGTGCTACTTTCTACAAAATTAAACACACGTTACGAGCCTAGTCCACACTCACGCACTCGTATTAGTAATAATAGTAGCATAATTGCCGCTAGCACATAACGCACTATAATGATTGAAATGTAATATGAAATATATCGTTTTACCTGCTGTATGGGCTCGGGCGAGACGTAGCGCCTTGCGGGTTCGAGAACCTCGTCGAAAACGCGGCGCGCCTCAACTTGCAGGGTCTGTTCATAGCCGTCTTCGAGGACAAAGACGCGTGGTTGATTTGGCTGCTTTAGCTTCAGCAACTCGTCGAGCAATCGCGCGGCGTGCCTCTTGTGCAGCGGTTCACAGGTCGAACCCAGCCATAGAAAAATCACCGATCTGCGAGTAATATAAAATAGAGCGATTATTGAGATGAAATTGTTCACGTTGTGACAATAGCTGTGAGTGAAAGAGATAAAAAAAAAAAATCAATCGGAGACGTGCTGCGTTTCCACATTGATATTATACATATTTCCACTAAATATGTATATTACCATACCAATGTACTTAACATATGCGCTTACACGAGTGGCCACGGGCATCGTAAAATGATGAATGTCCTAATAGCCTGAGTCATTTAGAAGCACTCATTAAAGAGAAAGCGTGAGCATGAGAGAGAGAGAGAGAGAGAGAGAGAGAACACAGGATGTAGTTTATAAGTGAAACAAAAGGCTTGTGTATGCATTCTGTCTCGTAAAAACTGTAATTCTTTCTCTCTCTCTCTCTCTCTCTCTCTGTCATACGATAATCGTTTATATTTCGACGGCTTTACACGTCAAGTTAATACATTAACGAGTGTATACAGTAAAACAAAAGTAAATTGAAATCATATATACCTGCTCGGCACATCGAGTAAAATAACATCGTGACTCGAAAAACTGGCCCAATCGACCGGCCGAAGCTCCGTTAACACAGCGATCGATGTCCCGGAGACTTGATGAAGTCTACTGCACGTAGCACCATCGGAGCCGTCGCGCGACGGAAACTCGATGGCCAGGAACTCGCGATGCCTGAAGTAGCCGAGAAAGCGCGGACTCTCTCGACCTTGCGCCTCTCGCATCAGCAGATGAGCTCCGTCGGCGGCGGTGGACTGCGCCGACCGATCGTTATTGTTGTTGTTATTTACGGCGCAGGCCAACTGAGAGTCTAGCTCGACGGCGCGCAAGGCAGCCGCACCGCTGGTGTCTGCTTCGCATTCTTCGCCTACCCAAAAGTGTATGGCTCGCAGTGACTGACAGTCTTTTAGTTCTTTCGCCTAAAAACAAATTACGATGCGTTGAATTACATATATCTGCGAAGGTATGGTGTAACAACGATAGAAATGGCTTACGAGCATTCCGGGGTACGGTAGAGGGCCATCCTTGGCCGAGACCGCGTAAATCAGGTAGGCAGAGTCCGTGAGAAAGGTGCCTAGCTTCGCTCGCCCGAGCGAGATTGTTTTTGTCGGCTATACATAATTACGTTATTTTTTCAGTCGACAAAGATCATAATTATACGCGGGGCAAAATTTTTCAAAATTCCCAGTTTTTTTTGCGTTTTTTATTGTTCAAATAGAAAACTGAGGTTTTTCTAAATAAAATGCAGTGGTTTTCAAAGTGTCATATTCATAATTTCTATCAAAGATAAGAGCAAACAAACCCGGCGCGCTAGTAACTTGTAACTCGCGCCTATAATAGGAAATTGAATAGGTATATAAGTTGTAAGGTATATGCCCCTATTTTCGATCATGTTCCTGTATTCGATCACCAATAATTAATATTAACAACTTAATTATAAGTGAGAAATTTTTTTTTAATAATTGGCTGAATGAATCGAACATCTTCAACAGAAATACATTATTCAAAATCAGATATCAAGTTTCAATCCTACATAAAAAATTCATTCAAATTTGATCGTAATTAGAGCCTAACTGATCGAAAATAGGGGCGTATACCTTATATCATATATGAAATTGTAATTCGACCGCCATAAGAACAAATAGAAAATAAAGCTTTGGGTCAATTTTTCTGTAGAATAGAAGAGAAAATTATCAGAAAATCCAACTGCCGTAAGTGAGAGATGAGTGACAATTAGTTACAGCGAGTTTATAGAATTGTGTTGGGCGGCCGAGCGCCGACTTTGTTTGCTCTTATCTCTTATAAAAATTCTAAATGTTACTCTTTGCAAACTTCATTAGAACACTAAGCCGTGCAAAAAACGTGTGGGTTTTGTGATATTCAAAATTGAAAGTTTACTTGTATGGACATCACCATTGGAAAAGATTATTTTATCGAAATCATAGACTGGTTATTTTTACAGTGGGTTAAAAATTGAGCAGTTTCGCTCAAAAATGTCGCTGCGCGAAGCGCTAAGAGTTTTGAGAAATTTTGCATATAAATCGTGTGTATATCTATATATACCTCTATTTTCCAAATGCAAAACGCAGTTCTGCCCTTCGGAATACTTTTAAAGATGTCACCGGCCGATTCTTCCGAGCATGTGCTCGCGTCGTCCTGAAAAACATTCAAATTAGTCTCTGTGAAAGTCGAGATCATCTCGATGCATATATATACTCTACTATATACATAGTTGCACAGATATAGGAAGTGCAACGAATGTACGCTGCCTTTTATTTAACGAGCTGCTACTTCGCTCTAGGCCGCAGTGTAGTCTCGCGAGCCGTAGAGCTTACGTTATTATACATCTACATAACGTTATTATTTTTATAATAGCGCTTTTTGCGCGCTCTCGTCGATATCTCGCATGCGCGGTCCGCGTACACAGCGCGGAGCAATGCATGTACGTGTGCATATGTGCGCGTTGTAACTCAACATAACAATTGGGCCGAATCGCGAAAACACGCGCGCACGAGTTAATTGTGCGCCCGCGATTCAACGAGATGCAATGCTGTGCTGCGTTCATAAAACAGGCTGCGTGGCTATATGTAAACGTTACGATTTTCAGATTGTATATGGGTCATTCGTCTCGAGTCGATGTTTATCTTATATTTTCCTTTCTACACAGCTTTTTGGTAGTTTCATTATCTTCGCAAGTCGGTTAAAAACCCATGAAGTTAATTGAAAAAAAAGTTTCAATTGTTTGTTCATACAATGCCAATAATTCTTAAATCTTATACTTTTTCTTCGATCTGCCCCCCTCTGCTTTTAATTAGTATCTCACTCGGGAACTTTCCCCCTTCTCTCCCTTCTCTCCCACTCACGAAAGAACTCGGGCATCGTCACATAGCTACATGAGCTTAGAAGAGCCGGACGAACTTCATTAGACGACAGTGTCTCTTTACGGCAACACTATATCTCGTACTTCTAAGAGCGTACCGGCACGAGGCAGCGATCGCATCGTGACCAAAGATATTTGACGTGAATAAAACTATAAGTTATTTAAAGTACACAAGTGAATTACGAGCGTTCGCAAGTGTTTGCAAGTGCGAGTGAACAAAAAAATGGAAGGAAATATGTCGAACAACAGTGGCTTCCAGCAATTGCTCCTTGATTTTGCCGATTTCGAGTTCGTCGAGTCGCGTCAAGCAAGCGGGCCAGAGCGTAGAATAAACACATTGAGGAGATTCAGACAGAGTGTGAACTGGAAGGACGAAGGAGAGCGCGACGAGCTACTCCGCGAACTCGTGCGCAGGTTCGACTACTGGACCGGGCCGCTTCCTGATCTTCGAGACATCTTCGGACGAGAAATGATCGAAAATTTGCTCGAGCCGCCCATTGAACATTCATGGGAGAGCATCGGTAGCTCGGTAAGTGCTAGAGTAAAGTCATTCGTGATGGAGACAGGATACAAGGACGAGCCGGATCACGACGAAGACGGTAAGCCAATGCTGCGACGCACGACACTGGTGCATACCGCGTTCCAGCGCGGCTGTTCAGCGGACTTCATTCACAGTTTATTCGAACAAATTTACAATCGCTACGATATGAACTACATCAGCGATGACGCCGAAACATCGCATTTTCACGTGGCCTGCGCGATTGGTCTCATCGAAGACGCGCAAAAATTTCTCGACGTCTGCGATGAGAACAGTAGGCCGGCGCTGTTGAAATTAAAGAATGCCGAAGGTAACACAGCCTTGTTCTTGGCTCTGAAGTACAGACGATTGGAGTTGGCCGAATATCTGATGAAAAATGGCGCTAGTGTAAGTGTGTCAAATGCTAAAGGATTGCGGCCGATACATGTCGTTTGTCAGAAAAAAGAATTTTCAGTACCGACAGAAGAAAAAAGGCAGGAAGATGACGACGACGACGACGACGACTCGCTGAAATGGTTCCTCGACGTGTGTAACAGCTTGGAGAAGAAAGTTGAGATCGACGTTCGAGATTACGACGATCGCAGACCTCTGCACTACGCCCTCGAGTGTTATAAGACGAGAACGGTGGAACTTTTGATCGGTCTAGGAGTCGATTCGAATCGCGCCGACGCCCACGGAACGACGCCCCTGCACGTACTTTGCAAGAGAAAAGCCGTGAGCCGCGACTACGACGATTTCGCGATCAATTGGTTCTTCGACATCTGCCTCGGCAAGGTAATTGATTTCGACGTCGAGGACAAGGACGGCCGGAGACCGCTGCATTTCGCTCTCGCCAACGGCAAGACGAGGACGGCCGAGCTGCTACTTGCCTTGGGCGCCGATCCGAAATCGGCGGACACGAAGGACTCGACGCCACTGCACGCCATCGCCAGCTACCACGGCACTTGCCAGTGGCACGAGCAATCATTCAAGACGGACGTAGTGTCGATGATTGTCCGACGGAAGCTGGGGTCGGTGTGGGCTCGAGACGCTGAGGGTAACACGCCATTGCACTTGGCGGTGCGCTCGGGTAACCGAGCCTTGGTCGACTGGCTGCTGAACAACAACGCCGATATCGATGCGGTCAACGCAGAGAACTCGAGCCCGTTGCACTTGGTATGCGGAAGAGCCTACCAGGCGAGGGGCATACTGGACACGCTGCTAGCGTTCGGCGAGAGATTCGATCGGCCACTGTCGTGCATAAACCAACAAGACCTGGACGGAAACACACCGCTGCATCTGGCTCTGATATCCAGCGACGATCGTCAGCTGATCGAATCTCTGCTTCATCACGGAGCAGATCCCAATTCCGTCAACAAAATGGGAAAGACGCCGCTGATCTTGATATGCGAGAATTATGGAAAGAGGGTAGATATGGCGCTGGCATTTTTCGCGATCAACGATGCCAAACAAAACCAGGTGTGGCTCGACGCGAGGGACAACATAGGCCGCAGCACGGCACTGCACTTTGCGCTATCCAAAAACGACAAAGAGCTGTTCAAATTGCTGTTAAGAAGAGGCGCCGACCCCAACGTCGGCAACAAGTTCGACAGGACTTCAGCGCACATCATCTGCCTTAAGCTCGGCTACGACGGCTTCCTGGAAGAAGTCTACGGCGAGTGCGAACGCATCGATCTCGAAGCCCGAGACAACCGCGGTAGAAGCGTGCTGCACCACGCCATGATGAACGGCTGCGACAGGACCATCGAGTTTTTGCTGAGACGGCGCGTGAATCCGAATTTGTTGGACCAAGATGGGAAAACTCCGCTACACTCCACGTTCCAGAGCAGCTTCAGGAAGCACGAGGATACCGATGTTCTCAGATTGATGCAGCTGTTTTTCAGAGTCTGCGACGAGGTAGGTATGCAAGTCGATATGGATGTGCGCGACGAGCTAGATAAGATGACGCCTCTCGAATTGGCCGTCGCGAGAACTATACCCGACCTGGTGAATCTGCTTGTCAAACGTGGCGCCGGCCGAGTAAATTTCGAATACCCTCGACGCATCGATGCAAATCACGTAACTCGCTCGGAAAAAGAAAATCGGCCTGTATTCTCATTCAGGGTAATCGCCAGTGTTCTGGCAATTGCCCATCGTCTCGAGAGCACAATCAATTACAGATTTACGCGCGAAGACAATGCAACGATGTTGAAATTTGTCGAGACTTTTTTCGAATCGTTCCTTACGACCTTTACACGCATGTGGAAAAAAGAACGAAAGGATGTACATCATGACGATCGCGAGGACGCATCTTACGAAGACCGAGCGAGACGGTGGGAAGTGAAACCGGGCTTGACGCTCTTGGATCTGAGCCAGCCGAAAGAAGAAATTACGTTCGAGGACTACTTGGAGCTCGCGAAATCGACAGAAGTATTGGAAGCATTTGAATTGTACAAGGTGTACTTTCGAGGATGCAAGAGGTTTTTCTACGAGCATATGTACGAGACGATCACGAGGAAATGGTTCGTGAAAAAAGAGACGGGGGAGAAAAATTTTTAAAAGATGTTATAAAAAATTTAAAACCAAAGTAAAAACCAAAGGAAAAAAATTTAAAACCTTGATATTGTAAAAAAAAAATAATAAATAAATAAGCGAAAATGTATAAAAAATATTTTAAAACATACAAAAACAGAAATGTATAAAAAGTATAAAAAAATTATAAAAGCAAAAATAGAAAAGAATGTTAAAAAAATAATAAATAATGAAAAATGTAAAAAAATTTTAAAAATGAGATTTGAGCTTTTTATTGACATACACCCACACACACACACGTACGATCGTCAAAATAAAAAACCGCTGCCAATTTTCGGACCACTGTGTATGAATAATAATAGTATACAGGCTTACGCCGCGAAAAAAGAAAGCCCCAGAGCACGGGTTATCGGCCTCGGCTTCGCCTCGGACACTAATTACACGTACTCTGGAACTTTTATTATTTTCGCGGCCTATGGCAGTAATATACCATTGGCAATATTAATATCATTTTTTCTAATTTGTTCACAAAACAATTTGAATCATAAAAGAAAAAAAAAATATTTTTAAAAATCGAAAAAAAAAATTTTTTTGTTCGTTTATCGCTAAATCAAACTTTCTGGCTTCATCCTCAATCCGTCCATAAACAATGTTTTGACACATCATAAATTTTGGGTACGAAACAACACAAAACTAAGAAAAAGAAAAAAATCATAAAAACCAAATTTCAGTTTCAAAACGTAACTTTTCAAACTTACGGTGAATCTTTACGCTTTTTATCTTAAATCAAAGGTTAATGGCTCTGCATTAAAAAAAGTATTACTTTTATTCAAAAAAACCAGTTTGTTTTAGAACAAATATGACAAAACTAAAAAAAACATGAAAAAAAAATTTTTTTTCTCGAAAATCCCTCATAACTTTTTAAATACTTAACGCAGAATTAAAAATGATGTTTTGGCTTCTTCCTTACATCAAAAAAAATAAAATGAGACATCTACAATAAGGATACGAACTACCGCCATCGAGATATCACTCTGCACAGACATACACACGTACATACACACACACACACACACACACACACACACATATACATACATACCAACATGTGTCAGAAATTCGATCTAGTTTAAGAATGTATATATATAAAAGTACTCTACGAGTATTAGTAATGAAAGTCGAAAATCGGTCCGTCACAAAGCTTCCTCTATGAGAAAACAATTCAAACGGAATAATTATTGATTTACTTCAAAATTTTTTCATTACATTCGTCAATTACGCTACTCGACAGCAAAAACGAAAGAATCAAATACTTAGTTCGCTGTACACCGATCTTTTTCGAAACGGTCGCCAAAACAAACAAGTAGAAATGAAAAATCATCGACATTTATTGTCCGTTATTACCTGTTTTTTTTTGTTTCCCCGAACCAATCAGATGCATCCGGACTTGCACTCGAACATTATTTCTGCGTCAATTTTTCGACGATATCATTGCTTTTACTCATTATAATACAACGAGTGTAGGATGTATACGATTCACGGCCTCGTGCGCACCACCGCATAACGATACTTGTCGCCGATGTTCTCGCGTTCGCTTTTAGCGAGCTACTGCGTGGGTGTAATATATTATTCGTTATGAGTTCGTAAAACAATTAATTTTGAATTTTGTAAAATTTGTGTCAAACAATAAAAGACATCTATATGATCTATGATACAGTTACACGGTATACGGCAACAGTTACACGGTATCAGCTAGTTGGACCATTTAACAGAGCCAAAACGATCTTAAATCTACAACAGTGTCCTGGATAATACATCGATTTATCCAGTTCTCAGACAAATCGACGATTGATAAATTAATACTCTTAATACAAATTTTTCATTTTTGCCTTCCATTCGACCTTTGATAATATATTACTATAATGCAGCGAGTAAAAACAAACGCCTATACGAGTATATATTATAAACATCGAGCTGCAGTCCATAGATCGCGAGCATTTCTGCGGATCATTGTTTGATATTACCCGACGTTATGAATTGCGATGTTGCATTCGACGCGCAAACACAACTGCGCCACTTTTTCGCGAGCTCATACGATACACGAAAAAGTTTAAACTTATACGCGTCGCGTATACAATATCCGATCGTCTTTTTCGTGGTCGCGCATTATGCAAAACGCCCGAAGATTGCTCAACGAAATAAATGAAGCGGCTGTCAATATGTCGAGCGAGATCATCATTGTTTACATTTCGAATGATAAATGCCTCGCTAGCATGAAAATTGCGCTTATCGCGTAAATTTTTACGCGACACCCGCGCGATTCCGACATGCATTACGATCGATCGTCTTGGAAACGTTCGTCTCGCTTGCGAAACGAAAAGAGCTACTCGCAGGATTCGCCAAAAAATGCGTCACACGTTTGGAATATAACATGCGTTCAGAACTTACCCGTTTGAGAAATCCCATTTGAAGGATATATTCGATTGGTCCTGCGGAAAACTCGCACGCGAGGTATATACGTAACCGCCGATCTAGCCGATGGTTTTCGGTATATCAACACACACACACATACACGCTAGAGTTCACAACTTCAAAAGAACCACCAACAACAACAAAAACTAGTCAATATAATTTGGCGAGCGATACTTCGCTCTCTCTCTCTCTTTGCAGAAAAATCGCATGCGCATGTACGTCGAGCCTCGATAGCGCGATTACAGCGACTGACTCGCGCGGTCGCGCGTTTGCAGGTATATAATACGATATACACGCAGGTAGAAAACAACAGCAGTAGTGCAGCTGCTCCTGCGCCTTATAATAGTATGTGGGGGCATATAGTGGTGCTGGACTCGGAGTAGGTAGAGTATATAATATATATAGAGGCACATGTAGCAGGAGGCAGCCCCGCGCGCGCGACCGACCGACCGGCACTATATTATAACAGCCGATCCTTTCGTGCTGTGTGTGCGTGCGTGTGTGTGCGTGTGTATACCGTTTACGAGTGTATGTATGCATAGACGATCGGCGAGCAGCAGCAGCGCAATTTGCACACACACACACACACACACACACACACACACACACACACACACATGCATGAAGCGCGCAGAGTCGGACTGCGAAGAGAGGAGGTGCACTGCACGTAACAGCGAGGCAAAGGAGGAATTACGGAGAACACCGAGGCACACACTGTTATTGTGCACGGAGTACAATATATATAGACTCCGAGGCACGTATGCGAACGAAAATGAAAACGAAAAAAAAATAATAATAATAAAAAATCGGTGCAGGAGGAGTAGAACTGTCAGGCCGCAAGTGCAGTACACACTATGGCAGAGAGAGAATAGACGCTACGAGCGAGCTTGACACTCACGCGCATGCAAACTGAACAGCATCAACTTATAATATAGAGCAAAAATTTATAATATAGTAGAGAGAAAACAAACTCGTGGCCAATAAGCGCGTACACAATATGTAGCTCAGGTCGACGCGCGCGCATCACGATCGTGTGCGAGTGTGTGCGAATAATAATAGTTGACCACTGTATATACGACGGGAGAGGATCGAGAAAGGAAAAGAGGCCTCCGCGAGCTGCGAGCGCTGTGCGCACAAGGATGTAAAATACGGCATGCGTGGCCCAGTGCTGCATAAAGAAGGTGGCATATACGTACATGCATAACGTATATCCAGGGCACGCGAGTGCGCGCACACGCGCGTACACGCCAACATAATGTAGGCAGGATGAAGTATACAAATAGGATGCAGGAGGAGGAGGGGGACTCTTGGCACTCTCTAGCTAGCTATATACAGCTCGCATGGTGTCCGGAAATGGGTCCGGAACAGCGCGGTGGGCCCCACGCTGCAGCGCACTCGCTGCAGCAGCCAGCCGTGACCGCGACCATCGCATCCTCTTATTATTATTACCATGCACATGTGTACACGTATATATAGGGTACGTGAGTGCTCCGGTACACGCTATACGTAACAGGTATATACAGCAAAAAAAAAGTCAACTAGTAGCGAGAGGCCCGCTATGTGTATGCATAGCATTAATATAATATAATTTAATGTGTGTAATAGGGGTACCTATATAGCGGACACCTGCTCGAGGCTTGAGCTCTGTGGCGAGGCAGCTCCGTCAAATTTCGGCCTGCGATATGAATAATATTGAATATTGTAATAATATGTTGCCCCCCCTTTGAATCTCGTTGCGGTGTTTGATTCGGCGTTGTGTGAATTTTTGAAAAAAATCGTTTGAGATCGGTGCGAATCGTTACGCTCGCGAGAGATCATTGAAAGGCTGCCATGATCATTTACCGATCTTCGTTCAATAATACATCGAGTTGTTTTGCTCATTGCTTTGCTCAGATGATAATATAAGTATTTAGCCGATTTAACAACTCGACGACGTTGGAAATACAAATTTCCACGTTACATCATTGAAACGTTGTATTAAATTTTCCTCGTATAGACACTCAATTATTATATTTGTTCATTAAATCATTTTTCTTTCATGTTTTTTAATCTTCTAATGGTCAATTTGTAAAATTTAAAATCCGCATAAGATATTTTAAGAAAATATTCTTGATTTTTCTGTAAATTTGCGAATCTCTTTCGTTGTTCGTTGTTGCGACAGCCAGATTGCAGTTAATGACGAAGTTGAAAGACGATATTTTACGACAATTTGAACCGTGTCAATGAAAAGTTATATCGAAACAATCTCCAACGTTATTTAAATTTTTCATTTCGGCGAGCATCATCGATCGAGCCTCGTCGTTTTTTTTTCTTCTTACAATTATCGCAATTACTTTCTAGCTCCATCCGCGCAGCCGTTTATCACATATAATAATAACGCATCGGAAAACTTATAACGGTATAAAGACGGGATGGTCAGTGCGAATTATTATATACTATACATACATAGAATACTATGCATAGAAAGGTCACAGAGCTGCGTGTATGTACAGTGGATGGAAGAAAATTTTCTGTAGCCTGCGAGCAGCAGCAGCAGTTTCGATCCTACACTATACAGCTGCAGCAACGATAATAAGGCGCGCGCGCGCGCACAGGTCAATCGGCAATTTTTATATCTTATCTGCGCGCGCCGATCACTGCCCCACGGGTACGTACCGTTATTCGGACGATTGTTCCCGATATTCCCGATCCTAGCTCTCAACGCGTGCATAATGCGCGTTTATAAAAGACGTCGAGATGGTTTTTTTAACGATCTCGTGCCGATTCTAAATGCGTGTACGTAAACGGCGAAATTATGTCTTGAGGTTTTTTTGTCTTGTTTTTTCAGCAATTCGTCACGTTACAACCGGAAAGCTCGGAGCTTCGTTATCGTTAAAAGGGATTATTTTTCGCGACGATTTAACATTTACGATGAATGAAAATTGATTCAGAAAGTCAGAGTAGCTCGTCTTTCGTTATCATTCGCTGAGTTTTTGCGAATAATTACGATTTGAAAGTGGGCTGAAGTATGCGTGTGCGCGCATGCAAGTAATTGTCCAAGCATACGAGTATCCGTTCGCACGTGTATACCACACAATTATGCATTCAAGTTTTTTTCATAATTGTAAACTTTCTCGTTCTAAACTCCTCTATGCTTTATAATAAAACGGAACCGATCTTCGATCGTTTACAAAACAAAAAAAAAAAAAAATAGTATATAAAAAGAGACGACGATCGAAACTTGACTCTTATTTGAAATTAATTTTATGCCCGAGCTTGCAGCGCAGCGAGAAACTTTCTAACTACATCCAGTTTCCAATTCGAATAATCCGATGAGAAATAATAAAATCCTTAATTGATCGTTGATAAGATTCATCGCGTTTCAATTTCATCTACCTGACAAATGAATTTAAAAGATTTTATTAGTTTCGAACGCGTGCCCATTATCCCGCGATAAAAGAGCGAAAAAGTCATGAGCAGTGTTTTTAATTGGCCGTAAACGAATAACCGTAATGCAGTTCGACTAATGGTAAAATAAAATTTTACGATCTCTCATCGAAGTATAGAATTTCAATAATGGCCCAGTACAATATTTAATTGTAAGCGAATATTAAAAGTCCCGCTGCTGCACAGGCCTCGTTGTGTCTCTCTGATCATATGTGCCTTTTGTTTACAAACACAAAATCGACATAATACACATCGATCGCGCGTTTATTACGACGAGAGAGAGAGAGAGAGGGAAAAATTTTCTGCTACCCGCAGTGGCGTGTTGTCATCATTATACACCAGTAGGTTTCCGTGCACCCCTTTGTTTTGCCGGGTGTAACGTGCCACGATCTCTTCAATTTTTTTTGTTTTATTTATTTATTCACCGGCAAATAAAAGATAGTGTTTCAACATCGCGAGAAAATGTTGAACAAGGTTAGAAGCTTTTTCGGCGGCTCGCCGAAAAACGACAAAGAAGTGAATAATTCCTCGTGGTGTTACAGAAATCGTTATGCCAGAGACTCGATGGAGCGCCAAGAAACAGCTGACGATGATCGTGGAAGCAGTAAATATATAACAACATATTAGATTACTTCATAACGCCGCATTCATACGCTCGTTGTCAACCCGAGAGATCATTTTTTTTTTCCTCTCCTTCCTTTACGAGAGAGAAAATCATTCGCACGCACACACGCGCCATCATCGCCCGCTATTCAAAAATCAAAAAGCTTCAATTGGTATACACACAACCCCCCGTTTTTTTATGTTTGCCATCGATCGACAGGTAACAGCAGCGATAATTATCTAATCGAAGACACTTCTCCGCGTTTGTTAAGATCGAAGAGCGACTCGAACCTGACGCCGAGCGACGAGGACAGCTACATGCGTATGCTCAGCTCTTTTCGCTCGTCCCTGGAGCTGCACGACGCGGCGAGGTCGCGCAGCGACCCCGAGTTGGCCGCCGACAACAACGACGATGACGCGGCGGCGGTTAGAGACGAGGTACAGGAGAACGTCATACAGGCGGCTGACAACGAGGTCGACGATTACGAGGATCAGCCGCCCAATTATTACAGCGGCGTGCTAAGAGTGATTCGAACCTACGACACCACGACCAACTCGATGCAGTTGCAGGATGTCAGCATTCTGAACTTTCAGGTAAGTTTCGATCATCTGCCTGTATGATATGTAATGGCTCTGGTCGCTCGATTTCGAGTTTCTTTACAAAGGCACATTGTTTCAGGGCAATATGCATGAACTCAATGAAATCGCGCCCTATTGGAAGAAAGATTGTAGAACTTGGCTGTGGAAATCTCAAAAGTTGCCTGATCGTCTGAGAAAACTCAAACGGGCTCAGCTGTTTAATTAATTATGAATAATTAGTGCCAATGAAACAAACAAACAAAAAATACTCAGTCATTATTCGTGTACAAATAAAATGTACAACTTACATGTTGTATTAGGTTTTTTGTTTTTCTAAAAAAACACTCGCTATTTGTACATTAAACTATTTTTTATGCTTCAAGCATAATTTTTGTCAACAAGTCAGTGAAAATTAACATTTGAATTTTTTTCTTTACAAGTTTGAACTAATTCATTCACCCAGCTGTCTCAACAGCGTCTAAATCTTGCTGTCCCTCGATACTTTCTCCCATTTCAAATCTTGCAAAGTCCAAGATTTGAGTATTTGTTTCGTCTAACAATTGCTGAACTTTAATAGTGGGGTCTAGAATGAACTCTTGATGTATCAAAGTAGCTTCGTCATCAGAACTTTGAGCAGGTTCGTCAACTTCTGGATTACCAATTTTGGTTGGATTCATACCTATGAAAAAATATTAAAATTATATTAAGCCAAATAACATTTTTTTTCAACAAGTAATGCAAAACTGGTAAGTTTATAGACCAGAAATAGTGACTGTAGCTTGCTAAGTGTATTTTACTGTAAAAAAAATTTTTTTTTTTCATTTTTTTCAATGAATAAAAAGTTATTCATATAAAAATGTTGTGACAAAATTCAGTAGATTGACTGTGATCTTGCTTACATGGAATTGACTTAACTTTAAAGTAAATGGAATCTTTAATTTAGTTTTTATAACTTTAAAAAACAAGCTATCCCGTAAGTGATTATTTGAAATAACTCATAAGACAATTTGTGGTAAAAAATTGTAGATTTCAATTGTGTCAATGTTTTAAACATTGTAATTCAGCTTCTAGATGATTGTTTAACTACTCATTGGAAAAAATGAGAAAAATATTATTAAAATTGAAGCATATTACAATATTAATAGTGTGCTTGGCCTTTAATACGTAATAGGCACATGACTACTAACCAATTATATGTTGGCATAATTGTTTTCCTAATTCAATTGGATCATCTTGAGTTTTGAATGCCAACAATGCACCGTACTTTCCATATAAAACTTTTCCAGGTTCACTGGCAGCAGGATGAGAAAATCCAACAAGATGTACATCATTGGGAACACTCATACACAGGGCACGCTTGACAGCTATATTTTCTCCTAGAGTACCAATTGCCAGTGCAGAATGATCAGCTACACTAATTCCATCATGAGCTGACAATGATTTTAGAGCATCTGCATCCAACATAAATCTGTTGTGACCATTCAATCCAACACTAAGATTATGTTTGAGAACAGCGTCAGCTACAACTTCAGCGAGTCCATGGAAATCTTTGTTTTTGGCAACAAAGTCTGTCTCGCAATTGATTTCAATAAGTGCACCGTGAGCTTGGTTTGTGATTACTGCAATAAGACCTTGACTAGTTGTTCTTCCTTGGAGCTTCTGAGCTTTCGACCAGCCCAGAGCTTGAGCCTGATCTCTCAACCACTTTTCTGCCTAAAAGTAATATCAAAAATAACATGACAGTTCATACGTTAAAAATTACTCGTCCTTAAAAAACTATTGCGTATGACAGACCTTCTCTACGTCGTTCTCATGAAGTTCCAAAGCTTTTTTACAATTTGCAAATGTGTAACCTGTTTTCTTCCTCAACTTGGCCAATAGAGACTTGTTGCTGGCCTGCCACAGAACGTTGTTGGTGCTTATGCATCGTGTTATGTTTTTGAACAGCATCTGTGGGAAAAAGAGTTTTCACTTAGCAATTTTAATTCAAAAAATGATACCCTAAGCCAGTGCACGGTATCGCTGCAGCTTAACCTAAAAACGACAATAGCAATGCACGTTCACGCGCACCGGTACATGGATTGCTTTCTTGCAACGAAGAAGCACGTTTTAAGCTTGCAGGATGAGGAAGATGAAAAAATCGCCAAGGTTTCGGGAAAATCGATCGCATTCGAGGTTGCCTTAGAGACAAAATACTCGATTCGAGGTAATGTTACTTGTGTGCAACGCGTAGACGGTGTGTACTCACGATTTCCAACGCTGGCTCCGCAATTGAGATGCAGCTGGGGTCGTTTCTCTTTGGTATATGCCTTTTGGGTAATAACAATAATTGTGATTTCCAATGAATCACACGCTGTCAAATTGTTCGTGAACAACCGGTGCAGCAGCAAGCAACGCGTCAAAATCTGATCATCGAGTATTGCCGAACATCACATAATAATAGCAGACGCGTCTGCAGCGGCTGCGCGCGCACATCGCGACAGTGTATACGTGCATAAACACGCACACATAGATGGTAAAGAGAAAAGTTGACACGGCGGATTCTTACAAAAGTTTACGAGGCGAATCGACGACGACTCATCGACGTTTGCGACGTTCATTTTTGCAATTATGACTTAGTGGGTGTTGTAGCATAATACACTTCTATGTATAAACATAATAAACTAGATACATTTACAGGTTAATCGATGGGTGCAATGGATCGAGTCATGAAACAAGACTCGATTTTTCATCGATCAGCCAACTCAACCGATTTCTACAAGTGAAAACGTCATCGCGAAGATCGAACTGCCACGATGTGCGAGCCAACGAAGCGATCCAAGGAATCTCGTCACGGGCCGGCATACGGTCGGGATGGATTCTGCGGATCGAGCATCAGCTCGCTCACGACGAATCCGACCGTATCGTCGTCGTCGTTGGTCGATTGCGACCCGGACATCGTGGAGCCAGCTGCGTCGTCCGTCTCGCGAAGCTGCCTCAAGACCTACGAATTTCCATTCCCGCCGAGGACTTGTTCGGCTCCACCGAACAGCAACAAACGCCGCAAACTCCACGACTCCGCGGGCGAGTACACTCGGGTGCGCCTGAGAAAGGAGGAGTTCCGCAAGAAGATCGTCGACGTTGTCATGAAGCAGCAGCAGCGACATTGCGGCGACGGCGACGGCGACGACGACGACGAGGAAGAAAACGACGCCAAGCTGATGTCGCAGTTTCGCTACTACATCAGCAGCGGCCTGGACACTCTGAACGTCGCGCCCATCGACGCCGAGGTGCTCGCTTCGATTCTCGCCCTCGTCCCGGCTAAGCACAAGACAGCCCATCGGGCCGAGTTTCTCAAGAAGCTCGTCAACGAGGTCAAGGACGACTTCATCTGGACCATCAAGAAGTCCATTGTCGAGTTCGCGCTGCAGGATCGTCGAAAGGACGACGACGACTACGATCACTCAATTCGAGTATTATTATATATAATTTTGTCTTTCGCTTTCGCTGCATAGAGATTATCTCGAATGAGAATCGTCTTTACTTTATTTTTTATTTTTTATTTTTTTCGTTGCAGCAATCCACGGTGATAGACTCGCTCGTCGACTCGAGGACTTTCAATTTGCGCAAACGCAAAATCAGAGACAATCTCAATCTAATCAATCCGTGTATGAAAATGTCCTGGAATCATTGGGGAAAGAGATTTCGGTAAATTGAATCACTTCAATTTCTATACCCACCATCCTTCTACTCCGCTGCTGCTCTCTTCGTTAAGCTTATATATGTCGTTTGCTTCTTTCTCCATTTTTTTTGTGTCTTTTGTCGTCTGTCTCTCTCTCTCGCTCATTGCGTCCAGTGATTTTTCGTTAATCGACTTGAACGAGATTAAAGAGCATCCCGGCTGCTGGGATTTAATGGAATTTCAAAGTTTCATCGACAAGCAGGTTCAAAGTGCCGTGAGATACTTGAAGGTCCAGTGGTTCGGCGGGATACAGGAGATATTTCTCGTGGTAATGATTCGGTTTTCTTCATCTTGGTATATAGATTTTGTTTCGGCGCTGTGATGAATTAATCAATTTTGCAGAACAACAAAAAAAATCTCGTACCGAGTCCAGTGGATACGAGAAATTTTCACAGGTTCTTCAGCTGCATCGCCAAGCTCATGGAATCTCAACTGTTGGCCATTTACAAGAACAGTCAAAAAAATTTCATGTCTTACATTTTGGATGTCAAGGTAAAGTATTAAATCTTAACATTAGCTTTTGCACAAGGAAGATTATGAGATCAAACATTATTTTTCGTCAGGATACGTGCAACACATACAGACTCGACGTAAACATCAAGTCGAGAGAAATCGCGTTCAATCCGCCGATGCACAATTTCAAAAGTATCCTTGGCAGTGCACTCGACTCGATGAGCGACGCCGTTATGGTGTTCGATCAACTCGAAACTCAACTGTATTTAGATTGGTCCGGGCCAAAAACGTTGCTCAAGGTTCAATTTTTTTGATTTAATATTTTACCGACAATTTTCTTCCTCTTCAAGAAAAATTATAATTAATTTAGCCGAGTGTTTCGAGAGACGTGATCGACAATTTTAAGCAACAAATCGTTCAAGTCATCGATGAGCAAAGAGTCGAACCGGAAAGTATAATCGAGAAGCTTCAAGTGTACGAATATTTTTTCAAATTAAATTTTGGTAAAATCGATATACTTCGTCCGTCGACTCATAATTGAATTCCGCGCAGGTTCAAGAAATATTTCGACGATTCGGAGATGCTGAAAGTCAAAGATTTCATATCGGACAAGGAGAAGACTTTCGAGGAGTATCGAGAGCTCATATGCTACCTGAGCGATCTGGAGAATCAAATTATTTTGGAAAACGACGCGACCGTCTGGACGACGCTGTTCGAGATAAACCAGAAAGATTTTCTCAAGCTCGCCGCCGACAATGTGTCGTCTTTCAAGAACATGTTATTGGATGAGCTGATATCGCGCTACAAAATTCTGGTAAAAAGGTCGCTACTCGATGAACAATTGTCGTACGAACGGTTTTCACGATCGAACACTGAATAACGATAATAATCAACAGCGTCGAGCAAGAGTACGCCAAGATCAACGAGCGCGCCGAAAGTTTTCCACCGAGTACGTCCGCGCTGATGGAAATGATCGAGTACATGAAAACCGTGGAGGACAGCCTCTTGAAGAAGTTGAAGCTGAAATTGCGCGAGATCATTCACAACATACTGTTTCTGTCGGATTTTCATCTGCTTACCGATCAGGAGATACTGGAAAATAACGCGGTCTTCCGATGGCACCACAGAATGCCCCAAATTTTGGACAACAACAAGATACTGGTCGAGAATAAAACTCGCGAATTTCAAGAGGCTCTGAAGAGTAAGTAAATCGCTCGTTTTGGCCTTGAACTTTCGCTCGTAACTAATGTCACTTTCGATAATTACAGTGCGATATCAGAAATTCGCCGAGGAATTGGAGACCTACTCGAAATTGGTCGAGGAGTACCAGTACCTGGGCGACATCGAGGAGGTGTTTCGCTACCAGAAGAAGGGCCAGGTGCTGGAGAACAAACTGATGCACGCCATGGAGAAGATCGACAAGTTCAACGAGGAGGAGAACGCCTTCGGCTGGGAGGTCACTCAGTATCCTCTGCGGAAGGAGGTGGCGGACCGATTGGCGCCCTACAAGAAGCTCTACGACGTCACCTGCGACTATCTCACCAAGTACGACAAGTGGATGACGGCCATGGTGGGCACCTATCATCCGGAGGACATCGAGATGGACGTATCGAGCGCTTTCAGGTACACTATCATTGTTATTCCTACTCGAACGAATGAAAATAAAAATAAAAAAAAAAATTACTCATTTTCATCGCAGGACGATATTCAAGCTGGAGAAATCGTTTCACGAGCCCGAGCCGAAGAGGCTCGCCGAGGCGGCCCGCGAGCGCATCGAGCTGCTCAAGGAGCGCATGTCGGTGGTCATGACGCTCGGCAATCCGGGCCTGAAGGAGCGCCACTGGGCGCGCATATCGGCCATCGTCGAGCGCCAGATCAAGCTCGACGAGAATCTCACTCTGAAGCGGATACTGGACATGCAGCTGGACGGCTACATCGAGCAGTTCGAGACGATCGCCGAGGCCGCGACCAAGGAGAACAATCTCGAGAAGACCATGCAGAAGATGGAGAGAGACTGGGTCGACCTGAACTTCGTGATAAATCCGTACAAGGATTCGGGCACCTACGTCGTGGCGGCCATCGACGACATTCAGTTGATTCTCGACGATCACATAATGAAGACGATGACGATGAAAAATTCGCCCTACATACAGCCGTTCGAGGAGCAAATTTTGTAATTTTTATAAAAACAACACTGATAATGTGTACTTTCAAGCTATATTCATTAGTATTATTATTTCAGACGTTGGGAGAGGAAATTACACCTGCTGCAGAATATTCTAGACCAGTGGCTATCCGTGCAAGGCACCTGGATGTATCTCGAGCCGATATTCTCGTCGCCCGACATACAGCAACAGATGCCCGAGGAGGGCAAAAAGTTCTCCGTCGTCGACAAGACCTGGCGCGACATCATGCGCACCGTCCAGATCGATCCGCGCGTCATGCGCGTCATCGAGATCGACAAGATCCTCGACAGGCTCAAAAAAAACGTCGCCCTGCTCGAGCTCATACAGAAGGGCCTCAACGATTATCTGGAGAAGAAGCGACTGATCTTTCCGCGATTCTTCTTTCTGTCGAACGACGAGCTGCTGGAGATACTGTCGGAGACGAGGGACCCGACTCGCGTCCAGCCCCATCTGAAGAAGTGCTTCGAGGGCATCGCCTATCTGACCTTCGACGACGATCTCAACGTGCTGGAGATACAGTCGGCCGAGGGCGAGGTGGTCGGTCTGTGCGACGTGATCTCGACCTCGGCCGCTCGGGGCCAGGTCGAGAAGTGGCTCGTCGAGCTCGAGGCCGACATGCGCAAGAGCGTGCGCGATCAGGTCGCGCGAGCGATCGAGGCCTATCGCAGCAAGCCCCGCACCCAGTGGGTGCTGGAGTGGCCCGGCCAGACGGTGCTCTGCGTCGGCCAGCTCTACTGGACGCAGCAGATCGAGCGCGCGATGGCCGACGCGGGCCTGGACGGCCTGAAGATGTACTGGAGGCAGTGCCAGCAGGAGCTGAACGACATCATTCTGCTCGTGAGGGGCAAGTTGTCGAAGCAAAATCGTGTCACTTTGGGTAGGTATCCTATTATTTATTGTTCATTTTCAAGGAAATGATGCTAGGATTTTTAATTTTTCACAGAGGCATTGGTGACGATCGATGTCCACGGCAAAGATGTGTTGAAGGGTTTGTGTGACGAGGCTGTATCGGTCAATACCGACTTCAAGTGGCTTTGTCATCTTAGATATTACTGGCAGGTATAGTAAATCCTCGATAACTCGAAATTAGACTCTGACATCAACATCCTCTATTAATTAATATAGTAAAAAATCGTCTTGATATTTTGAAATGAAAATTTGAATTTCGAGTCATTGAACTATCTTGATAATTCAAAGTCAAAATTTTAATTGTTTATGTTATACTAAAATATACACCCAAATACGTATAGAAATATAGTAGTTCAGAATAAATGTGTATATTGTAATACGTTAAACTTTATAATAAAACTAGACTTTAATATGTGCGCGCTACGCGCGCATGGAACTCTTATGAGTATGTCATTTAATATATGAAAGATATTATTAACTACAGAGGGCGTATATAGATGACACTAAAATATTTCTTGTACTTACATGAAGTTGGCTCTAAGAGGGTTCAATTCGATCTATAATCGCAATGGCTCTTATATTAATTAGAAATAATTCATACTGCAATAGGAAAGTAAAGCAATCAAAAAGTTAAAAGGAGTAGAATGTTTCATTGAATCAAGTTATGAAATACCAAATGATTTTTTTTGTTACAAAATTAGAATTATCTCTAAAAGCAAAATGACAAAAAAATTTGATATCTTATTTTGAATAAAATTTAATTTAATGTCATAAAAAAATTGATTACATGAATAATTAGAATTGCCTTCAAGTATCAAATAATTACGATTCGCATTCAGTGATTCTAAAATGACTTACAAATTTAGGAAAACAACATGATCACCTACATGATCAACAGTCACCTGGCCTACGGCTACGAGTACCTCGGCAACACGTCGCGCCTCGTGATCACGCCGCTCACCGATCGCTGCTACCGCACCCTCTTCGGCGCGCTCAGTCTGCATCTGGGCGGCGCGCCCGAGGGCCCGGCCGGCACCGGCAAGACCGAGACCACCAAGGACCTGGCCAAGGCCGTGGCCAAGCAGTGCGTCGTGTTCAACTGCTCCGACGGCATGGACTATCTGGCCCTCGGCAAATTCTTCAAGGGTCTGGCCTCGTGCGGCGCCTGGTCCTGCTTCGACGAGTTCAATCGCATCGATCTCGAGGTCCTTTCGGTCGTCGCCCAGCAGATACTCACCATTCAGCGCGGCATCAATTCGGCCTCGGACACGCTGCTGTTCGAGGGCACAGAGATCAGCCTCGACCCGACCTGCGCCGTGTTCATCACCATGAATCCGGGCTACGCCGGTCGCTCCGAGCTGCCCGACAATCTCAAGGCGCTGTTTCGCTCGGTCGCGATGATGGTGCCCGATTACGCCCTCATATCCGAGAACACCCTCTACTCGTACGGCTTCTACAACGGCCGGCCTCTGGCCGTGAAGATCGTCACCGCCTACAAGCTGTGCTCGGAGCAGCTCAGCAGCCAGTGCCACTACGATTACGGCATGCGCGCCGTCAAGTCCGTCCTCATCGCCGCGGGCAATCTCAAGCTCAAGTATCCGGACGAGTCCGAGGACATACTGCTGTTGCGCAGCATCAAGGACGTGAATCTGCCCAAGTTCCTGAGCCAGGATCTGCCGCTGTTCCAGGGCATCGTGTCGGATCTGTTCCCGGGCGTGAAGCTACCCGAGCCCGACTACACTCACCTCAACGCTTGCGTGCGCGAGGCCTGCGTCCGAGCCAATCTCCAGTGCACCGACTTCTTTCTCTTCAAGATCCAGCAGATCTTCGAGATGATGATCGTGCGCCACGGCTTCATGATCGTCGGTCTGCCATTCGGGGGCAAGACCTGCGCCTATCGCGTGCTGGCCGAGGCGCTCGGCCTGCTGGAGGAGCGCGGTCTGATGGACGAGCACCGGGTCGAGATCACCGTGATCAATCCAAAGTCCATCACGATGGGCCAGCTGTACGGCCAGTTCGATCCGGCGTCGCACGAGTGGCGCGACGGCGTGCTGGCGGTCAAGTATCGCGAGTTCGCCACGTCGACCAACAAGAATCGCAAGTGGCTGATCTTCGACGGGCCGGTGGACGCGATCTGGATCGAGAACATGAACACGGTGCTGGACGACAACAAGAAGCTCTGCCTGATGTCGGGCGAGATCATACAGTTGGCGCCCACCACCAGCATGATATTCGAGCCGATGGATCTCGAAGTTAGTGATGGAGGCTTTGTTTTAGACTTGACGGTTTTTTTTTCATTTTTTCTTACTTAAATACACTACAATGTTGTGAACTGAAAACGTAAAATTACTTTCGACTTTGGATACGTTTTCCTACACTTCTTTATTTTTATTTTTTAAAACTTCTTTATTTTTTAAAACTCTATTCTTGAATAAAAGAAACATTGATTATAAATATTGAAATCAATAAAATAATGCTTAGGGAAATGTTAAAATGTATAAAAATGTATAAAATTATGTATCAGTTCCAACAATATATCATAACGCACACAGTAATGAATTCGAATGTTCATAAATGTATTGACTATCCAAAATCGTCGGTAATTATCCTTTTTTTTTACATTTTATTACTGTTCACAATTCAAGTGCGATAGTTTTAACTTTTATTTTTACTCATTTTGAAATTTTAATACCAGGTAGCGTCGCCAGCCACTGTCTCTCGCTGTGGCATGATCTACATGGAGCCGGTTTCCTTGGGCTGGGAGCCTCTGCTGCTCTCGTGGATGAACACGTTGCCGAAATCATTCGGCGAGCATAGAAAAACACAGCTGAGGGACATGTTCTTGCGATTCTGTCCGGTGCTGCTGTACTTCATCAGACGTTGCGGAGTCAAAGTAAACTTAACTTTTTTTCATTGTATAAAAATGAAATTAATCATTGAAACGATCGCACGCAGGAAATGATTACCATGCCGGACGCCAATCTCGTCAAATCCGTGATGCACCTCTACGATTGTTTCTGCGACGATTTCACGGACGAGGCGTACGTGGAGAAGATATCGGATCTCGAGATGAGGGCCCAGATCGAGGGCTGCTTCTTCTTCTCGTGCATCTGGGCCCTCGGCAGCACGATCCTGCCCTCGTATCGCGAGAAATTCAGCCTACTGTTTCGCGGCCTGATGGAGCGCGAGTTCCCGATCGAGGTGCACGCGCAGTTCGGCCTGCCGAGCGAGGTGCCGCCGCTGCGCAAGCCCTACGTCACGCTGCTGCCTGGCGAGGGCCTCGTGCACGACTATCGCTACGTGAAGGAGGGCAAGGGCCACTGGGAGCCCTGGGCCGCGGAGCTGCTCAACGACGCGCCGATACCGCGCGACCTGCCCGTCAATCAGATCATCGTGCCGACCGTGGAGACGGTGCGCTATCTGCATCTCATCAAGATGCTCGTGCTGCACCAGAAGCCGGTGCTGCTGGTCGGGCCGACGGGCACCGGCAAGTCCGCCTACATCAGCGAGTTTTTGCTGAAGAAGAACGACCCGAAGGTCTACAAGCCGCTGTTCGTCACGTTCTCGGCGCAGACGACGGCCAACCAGACGCAGGACATCATTATGAGCAAGCTGGACAAGCGGAGGAAGGGCCTGTACGGTGCTCCGCCAGGTATGTATATAAACTCGAAATGAAAATGAAGTTCTCTCGCAAGTTGCTGGCGCGATTGCCCTTGACTTACACTACTGGATCGCTTACGACGATTCGAAAAGTATTTCGCAAAATGCGTTTGCATTGAAATGAAGAAACTAAATTGAGAATATAAAAAAAATTAAAATTCAATCAATTGAATTGAAATTAAAAATCAGTAAACAGCTGATTAAGAGTAAAAATTAAAATTAAACTAAAAACATGTAAACTTGCAGAACAGCAGTTAGAAAATAAACTGCGACCAAAATTACAAAAAAATAAAAATCCAAGCAAGCTAATAATTTGATAAAAAAACAAACATTAAAAATCAACAAAAGTTACATGAAATTCCAGGAAGAAACTTCATCTAAGTAAAAGGATTCTGAAGTTTCACTTCTGGTGGTTGAATTGTCTAGAATACATTGTATATGAAAACGCCAGAAGTGAAACTTCAGAGTCTTTTTCCTTGAGTGAAGTTTATTTTTGCATACAACGAACGATAACCGCTCAATGAACTAATTTAATATTTTAATTCATCAATCCACAAAATAATAAATAATTTTACCCAAAATAATAAATAATTTTTAATAAAAATTTACTTTCGAAGCTACAATTGAAAGTTAAAGAAAATAATTAAAGTACGAGTCACTTTTTAATAAACCAAATAATTATAAATACATCTTAATCCTCTTGAATAACTCTTTTTCTTACCTGATGACTCTCAATCATATTTCTTTTATAGAATGAATAACACAATTTGTGAATGTTGCTTGTTGGGGGTTTTGGGAAAGTACTTAATTTTGGAAGGCAGAAAAATTTCTCGAAAGAATCGTCGCCAAGTTAGAATTCTAAATTTATTTAAGTATGGCAAGAATAGTGTATAAACAGATAAATCAGTACCTTAATTGTAAACAATATGACCATAAACGATTTTGAATTTGTCCCTTGAAAATCATGTTTGTAGTAAAAACAAATTAGTTTGAATGTTGTCTATCCCGACGAAAGAAAATTACATTATCAGAAGATAAATTTTATTCGTTCAATTTCCGTAACAAAAAATCCATCGTTTATTTTAAGCCCCAAAATGGATAAAAGTGATGAGAAATCCGAGGAAATTATCTCAAATGATAATTCAAGTGAACTTGCCATTGTTATTTCAGACGACAAAAGACACGTTTGTGATATTTGCCAGGAGACATTTGCACTAGAATCAACCATGATAACACACCGAGACGCAACTCACAAAGAACAAAAAAATTACTCATGTGACAATTGCGAGAAGAAATTTGAATTTCAAAGTCATTTGAGTAGACACCAAATATCAGAACACAGAAACCGCAAAGATTTTCCATGCGACCAATGTGAGAAGAAATTTGTGACAAAATCGAGTTTGTTGACTCACCAAAAATTGGTACACAAAAATCTCGAAGATTTCACATGCAACAAGTGCGAGAAAAAATTTGAAAATAAATTAACTCTGCTTAAGCACAAAAAAATATTCCACGAAGTTTTTAAAGATAACTTGTGTGAAATGTGCGCCAAGAGATTTGGAAATAAACGAAGTTTGCTGATGCACATAAAAACAGTACACAACAAGCGAGAGAGAAAAATTGGACAAAAGTTAAAATTGACGAAACACCCAAATACAGTCTACGAGGGTCGCAAAGATTTTTCATGCGATAAGTACGAGGAGATATTTGGAAAAAAATATTACCTATGTAACTATTGCGGGAAGAAATTTGGAAATGAATCAAGTTGGCTCTTGCATATGACAACACTTCACGAGGGTCACAAATATTTAGCATACGACAGGGGCCTGAAGAAATTTGAAAATCAAAGCAATTTGAAAATGCACACAAAAACAGTTCAAGAAAGTCGCAAAGATTATTCATGTGACGAATGCGAGAAGAAATTTAAATATAAATCGTCCTTGTGGGAGCACAAAATGACAGTACACGGAAGTCGAAAAGATTACGTATGCGACAAATGCGAAAAAAAATTTGGCCGTAAATCGAGCTTATTTGTGCACAAAATGATATTACACGAAGGTCGTAAAAATTTTCCATGCGACAATTGCGAGAAGATATTCGGAAAAAAGTCAGATTTGATCAGGCACCAACAAACAGTCCACGAAGGTCGCAAAGACTTTGCATGTGACAGATGCGAAAAGAAATTTGGACGAAAAGATCATTTCATTTTTCACCAGAAGACGATACACGATGGTCATAGAGATTATGCATGCGACAAGTGCGAACGAAAATTTGGACACAAATCCAAATTGCTTTACCATCAAATGACAATACACGATGGTCGCACAGATTTTGAATGTGACAAGTGCGAGAAAAAATTTACGCAAAAATCAACTTTGCTTGTCCACCAAAAGACAGTACACGAAAGGCGCAAAGATTTCGCGTGCGACAAGTGCGAGAAAAAATTTGGACTAAAATCGAATTTGTTTAAACATCAAAATATAGTCCATGAAAGTCGCAAGGATTTCGTATGTGACAAATGCGAAATAAATTTTGGACAAAAAGTGCAATTGCTGAGGCACCAGAAGATAAGACACGACGGTTGCAAAGATTATGCATGTGATAAATGCGAACGAAAATTTGGACACAAATCGAATTTGCTTTACCATCAAAAAACAGTCCACGAAGGTCGGAAAGATTTCGCATGTAACAAGTGTGAAAAAAAATTTGGACAGAAAAGTCATTTGCTCTGCCACCAAAGGACGGTACACGAAAGGCGCAAAGATTACGCATGTGAAAAGTGCGAGAAGATATTTGGACATAAATCGAATATGGTAAAGCACCAAAAAACAGTACACAAGGGCCGCAAAGATTTTGGTACTGACAAATGCGAAAAAGAATGATGATTGACAATTGTAAATATTTATAAATACTCAAACACACGTTTCCGAAAATTCCAATAAAAATTGTGCTGAAATAAGTGTGTATTACCTGATCCTCTGGCATCATTACACCTTTGCCCAGTGACGTTTTGCCGTTATCCAATTTCGCGTACTACTTATGCAAGTCTTGGTGCATTTTTTGTCGATATCGTTCATGCAGCTCTTCAAGCAATGATCAGCTGAGGGGTTTTTTACGTCATGTCAGAAACTGTGAATGGGGCGAGCATTTAGTTAGCTAGTGGATTTTTGATAAATCTCACGTAATAATATCGCGTCTCTGTATTTATAAAATATGCATTCGTGAAAGATTTTGATAAATTCGCTGACTGTCCAATAGTTTTGTGAGAAGAGAGATCGGTAAAACAATATGTTCTATAAATAATATGTTCTATAAAAAATTTTAGAATTTAAAAGTAATCGAACAAGTAAAAGTCGAAACAAAAAAATAAGTAAAAAACAAGTAAAAAATTAAAAACGAATTAAAAATTGAAAAATCAAGAAAAAATCAATTTAAATAAAAAAATCTAAAATCAAACAAGTAAAAAGTAAGGCAACAAAAAAACAAAAAACATGAATCAAAAAAACGAGAAAATCAAGAAAAATCAAGAAAAAGAAAAGTCAGAAAATCTCAACACAAGCATCGATGTTTCACATCTGGTGCGCTAATGCTCGAGAAACTACTCTGATTACTTAACTCAATGAGAGGGAACGATTTGATTTGATTGAGTAAGCACCCATTGATTATGCATCAGATGTGAAACATCGATGCTTGTGATGAGATTTTCTCACTTTTCTTTTTCTTGATTTTTCTTGATTTTCTCGTTTTTTTGATTCATGTTTTTTGTTTTTTTGTTTCCTTACTTTTTACTTGTTTGATTTTAGATTTTTTTATTTTAATTGATTTTTTCTTGATTTTTCAATTTTTAATTCGTTTTTAATTTTTTACTTGTTTTTTACTTATTTTTTTGTTTCGACTTTTTGATTTTAAATTGTTAACTTTTTTGGACTATAATTTCTTTGCACGAATTTTCAAAATTATCTCCTTAATTTACTTTGGTTTATACTTTGAAATTGAAATCTTAATTTGTTTGGACTTTATAATTCTATGTGCGATGCTGCGAAAGTGGCACTTTCAACTGCTGCTTTCAAAAAGTCGTTAACACATTTTTTAATTTCCTCCTTCTCGTTCTCCGTTCCCCCCCGCGGCAGGCATGCACTGGGTGATATTCATCGACGACGTGTCGATACCGCAGAAGGAGGAGTACGGCGCGCAGCCGCCGATCGAGCTGCTGCGCCAGTGGCTGGACCACGCGATGTGGTACGACAGGCGCGACATCGCCACGATCCGCCTCGTGGACATGCAGCCGATCTGCGCGATGCTGCCGCCGAGCAGCGGCAAGGACATGACGCCGCGCTTCAAGCGCCACTTCTTCACCATGAGTATCGCCGAGTTCGAGGATCCCGTGATGATGACGATCTTCAGCAAGATACTGGCCTGGCACTTCGACGCCAAGGACTTCAAGCCCGAGTTCCTGGATTACGTGGAGCCGCTGGTGCTCGCCACCCTCGACATCTACAAGGAGACGCTGAAATTTTTGCTGCCCACCCCGGCCAAGTCGCACTATCTGTTCAACTTGCGCGACTTCTCCAGGGTCGTGCAGGGTATACTGCTGTCGCGGCCCGAGGCAACGGTCGACTGGGTAAATTAATTAATTACTCGCGCCCGGACGCGATGCTTCGTTTAATCTTATTTCATTTTTGTTTTCGTTTCCTTTCTCGATCCTCAAGCACGCCCTGAAAAGACTGTGGGTGCACGAGATACTTCGCGTTTACGGCGATCGATTGGTCGACGAGGCCGACACCACTTGGCTGGTCGAGCTGATAAGGCAGGTACTCAGGAAACAAATGGACGAAAATATGAACAAGCTGTTCGCGGATTTCGTCGACGAGTCCGAAGCCAGGGTATCGATCGTATTTCATAATAATGATAAAATAAAATAAAATAATTATACTTGAGAATTGTTCATTATCTTGCGATTTTTTTCATACACGCAATCATCAAGGTGAGCGAAGTCGAGCTGAGAAATTTGATCTACTGCAACTTTCAAGATCCCTTCGCGGAAAAGATGTACATGGAGGTGCCGAACCTGGACGAGTTGGCGCTGGTGGTCGATCAATATCTGCTCGAGTACAATTCTATTTCGAAAAAACCGATGAATCTTGTTTTATTCAGGTACGTGTAAATAATTAAATATCGTCCCGCCGCCGGCCGTGTCGGCGATATACACAATATCAATTATTGAAAACACCGCATACACAAAGAGCAAGCGTGTAAATTTAAGTTTTGCAAGACGCGTCCGCGACGCGCCATGAATAATCGAGCGCGAAGTACTGCTACATACTGCTCTCGGAATACACAGCGAATGATCGATATCGTCCTCTTCTCTCTCGCCCATCTACATTAATCACTGCGTTACAGATTCGCCATAGAGCATCTGTCGAAGCTGTGCCGGATAATGATGCAGCCGAGCAGTCACGCGCTCCTCGTGGGCGTGGGTGGCTCGGGCCGCCAGTCGCTGACCCGGCTCGCCGCGCACATATCCGACTACGACATCTTCCAGGTGGAGATCTCCAAGGTGTACGGCGTCAACGACTGGCACGACGATCTCAAGGACATCCTGCGCAAGACTGCCCAGGCCGAGCTGCACACCGTCTTTCTGTTCACCGACATACAGATCAAGGAGGAGTCCTTCCTCGAGGACATCAGCAACATGCTGAACTCGGGCGAGGTGCCAAATCTGTTTCTGGCCGACGAGAAGGCCGACATCTGCGAGAAGATGCGCCAGATCGATCGGCAGCGCGACAAGTCCGTGCAGACGGACGGCAGTCCCGTGTCCCTCTTCAATCTCTTCGTGCAGACCGTGAAGGAGCAGCTGCACATCGTCGTGGCGATGTCGCCCATCGGCGAGAACTTTCGCGTGCGCATACGCAAGTTCCCGGCGCTGGTCAATTGCTGCACCATCGACTGGCTGCAGCCCTGGCCCGAGGACGCCCTCCAGGCCGTGGCGACCAAGTTCCTCGGCGACATCGAGCTCAAGGACATGGAGCGCCAGGCCTGCATCGAGATGTGCCAGAGCTTTCACACCTCCACCCAGGACCTGTCCAAAGAGTTCCTGCTGCGCGCCAAGCGCTACAATTACGTCACGCCCACGTCCTATCTCGAGCTCATCAGCACCTTCGACAAGATACTGGCGCGTAAGCGCAAGGAGGTGCTGGACGGCAAGAGGCGCTACGTGGCCGGCCTCGAGTCCCTCAATCAGGCCAACGTGCAGGTGGCCAAGATGCAGGACACGCTCAGGGCCCTGCAGCCGAAGCTCATCGAGGCCACCAAGGACGTGGAAAAGGTGCTGTCGATCATCGAGACGGAAACCGCCGAGGCGGCCGAAATCGAGCGCGGCGTCAAGGAAGAGGAGGAAGCAGCTATGGTACGAAAGCAAAAAAAAAAAACAAACTTCTTTTTCACCGACTCGACTATTTTCTTTGCTGCCGAGTATAGTATATAAGCTCGCTACTGTATATAACGTTATATTCTCGACTTTTTCCATCTCGCCGACTTTGCGCGCGAGCGCAGGCAGTGGCGGATGCCGCGCAAGCCATTCAAGCTGAATGCGACGCTGATTTGAAGGAAGTTTTGCCAATTCTGAATGCTGCAAACGACGCGTTAAATACCCTGACTCCTCAAGACATACAGATCGTCAAGACGATGAAGAATCCGCCGGCTGGGGTGAAGCTCGTCATGGAAGCTATTTGCATATTGAAAGTTCGTTCGTTTCTTGTTTACACCTTCTTCTTCTTTTGACAATCCTCTAATATACTATATATGTATCTTTGCAAAAGAAAGGAAACTTTCGACGAAAGTACTCGAAAAGTTATTTCCTTTCTTTGCTTGTATTTTTGTTTCATTTTGAAAAAAAAAATAGCAATAAAAATAACGGTAATTTCGAATGTGGTGACGAGTTTATCTTCCGGACAGGACGTGAAACCCGATCGCGTGCCCGGCGAGGCGGGCCGCATGGTCGACGACTTCTGGAAGCCGTCGCTGCGCATCCTCGGCGACATCAAGTTCCTCGACAGTCTGCTGACCTTCGACAAGGACAACATACCCGAGCGCATCATCAACAAGATACGCACGACCATCCTGACGAATCCCAACTTCGACCCGGACAAGATACGCAACGCGTCGACGGCCTGCGAGGGCCTGTGCAAGTGGGCCATCGCCATCTGCGAGTACGACACGGTGGCCAAGGTGGTGGCCCCGAAGAAGATCGCCCTGTCGCAGGCCAAGGCCCGATACGAGTACGCCATCGCCGGGGTCGAGGTGAAGCGGGCCAAGCTGCGCGAGGTGCAGGCCAAGGTGGCCAAGCTCGAGGAGCTGCTGGCCCAGCGCAAGAACGACTATCAGATGATGAACGACGAGGTGGCCCTCTGCCAGCAGAAGCTGCAGCGCGCCGAGGAGCTGATCGGTGTGTTGCTTCTTGCTTTTTTTTCCTTTTCATTTTATAGATCTGTAGGTAAATTATCGAGGTTCGAGTTAGTGAGGTAAAAGAGAGATTGAAAAAAATTTGGAATTATCGAAAAATGCCGGTACTTATATCGATTGAATATTATTAATAGTTCTTCTCCCAAGTGAAGTAATTGAACATTTTTAAGAAGTAAGAGATTTATTATGAAGAAATTCCAGATTTTTAATTTTTATGTATACAACAAAGGCAATCATTTATTTTAAAAAATAACAAAAACTTGCTGTTCAATCCAGAATAATTTCTTCTGATCATTCTTTATTTAAAATCTCAGCAAATATTTCATTTATTTTCACTCTTCATAATGTTGAAAAAGAGACTACTTTTATATTTACATTTATTTTACTGCAGTACTTATTCACGCATATTGTGTATACATTATACTATGAACAATATTTCAATTATTTAATTTTGATTTCGAATTATCGAGGTAGATTAAATTAGTTCGAGATAGGAATGCCAGAGTTTTGGAATTATCGAATTATCGATTCACTGTGTGCATATTTTGCATCGTCCGCATACAGGCGGCCTGGGCGGCGAGTACACGCGCTGGTCGGAGATCGCCCGGGAGCTCGGCGAGCGCTACTACAAGCTGACCGGCGACGTGCTCGTGAGCGCCGGCGTCGTGGCCTACCTCGGCGTGTTCACCGCCTCGTATCGCCAGAAGCAGGTCGACGGCTGGATCGTGGCCTGCAATCAGCTCGATCTCGAGTGCACGCCCGAATTTCAGCTCACCCAGATCCTCGGCGATCCGGTGGCGATCAGGTCCTGGACGATCTTCGGCCTGCCCACGGATCTGTTCTCCATCGACAACGCCATCATGGTGGTGAACTCGAGGCGCTGGCCGCTCATGATCGATCCGCAGGGCCAGGCCAACAAGTGGATCAAGAACATGGAGAAGTCGGCCAACATCAGCGTCATCCGGCTGAGCCAGTCGGACTACATGAGGATCCTGGAGAACTCCATACAGTTCGGCCAGCCGGTGCTGCTGGAGAACGTGGGCGAGGAGCTCGACGCCGCCCTCGAGCCGCTGCTGCTCAAGCAGACCTTCAAGTCCGGCGGGGCTTACTGCATCAAGCTCGGCGACACGACCGTCGAGTACAACGAGAAATTCCGGTATACACCCCGTAAAAATGGAGATAAAAATAAATTTCGTCAATTAATTTTCTCTTAATCCTTCTTCTTGTTTTACGCAGGTTTTACATCACGACCAAATTGCGAAATCCGCATTATTTGCCCGAGGTCGCCGTCAAAGTGACTCTATTGAATTTTATGATCACGCCGTCGGGCTTAGAGGATCAGCTGCTCGGTATCGTCGTTGCCAAGGAGAGGCCGGATTTGGAGTCTGAAAAGAATCAACTCATCGTGCAGGGAGCCGAGAACAAAAAGTAACGTATTTACTTCCTTTTTTTTCTCTCTCTTTTACTTTTATCAAAATACGTTGGCAATTTTTTTCCTTTTTCGAGAGAGAGAGAGAGAGAGAGCGAAAGAAAAATAAGCCAAAAATAAAATTTAATCGAATGAATCCAATTACGCGAGATAAGCTACGAGGGCGGAAAGAGATATTACATTTACTCTGTGTGCATGTGTATCGGCCATCCGCAGAATGCTGAAAGAAATCGAAGACAAGATATTGGAGGTGCTCTCGGAGTCGGACGAAAACATATTGGAAGACCAAACTGCCATAAGTGTATTAAGCTCGTCCAAGACCCTCTCGAACGAGATCCAAGCGAAGCAGGCCGCGGCGGAAATTACGGAGAAGACCATCGACGAGACCAGATCGGAGTACACATCGATCGCCAGCTATAGCACCGTGCTCTTCTTCACGATTGGTAATACAAGCCAAATGGTATGAGGGATTCTCAAAAAAAAAAATTTTCAAATTAAAGGTCAACTCTGGTATTGCAAAATTAAGTTATCTAAAATTTGGCAGCCATCGTACGTTTTGTAGAACGTGGATTTTGATTTTTTAACATTTATATCAATGTTATTAATATTTTTTTGCTCGAAAAATGCATAATTTATGGGGGTAAATTTTCTTAGTGCTCTACAAAAGAAAGATTCATACAAAAAATTCTGAAAAATTTTGTGCAGCTAGTTTTTGAGGTATATCAATCGAGCAAATGGTTCCGATGCATAGACCCGTATTTGTTCGTCGTCTTTATTCAATGTACGATTTGAGATTTATTTTATTTGAACATTATTCTAAATTCTTTTAGAGTTATAGAGGAGAAAATTTTCTTTTTCTCGAGTTTTAAAATTGGTTTAATGAATATGTGACTTGAATAAAAATAATGTACAGATGTATCTCAACTTTCAGATATAACGAGTATGAAGTTTATCCTTGTTGCCGTTATATTTCGCCCTTTTTCCGCTTTTGAGAATTTTTGAGAAGTCCTCATCTATGCATACACTGAAAAAATTTTGCACTGAATAATAGATCTCTACAGCGTGAATACATTTTATATTCATCAAATGAACAACTATTTATGACACAGTGAATACAAAACAGTATACTAATATTTTGAAGGGAATCATTTGTCACTGTGACAAGAATTTGGCTTCACGCGTGACGGTATATTGCGATATCGACAATGCACATGTCAGAACCACCGTAAAGCCAACGCTCGAAAGCAATTACGGCTACGCATGGCACTATTTATTAGCTGGCTGGCTATAACATATACGTATACAAAACGGATAAATTAATTTTTTTCCGTGTAAACTTATTAGAAACTGTATCATTTGATACACATATTCATGCTTATGAAGTCATTGAAACAAATCGCCACACTGTTGTTACTAGGCATAACTGATAAGCGATATTTTTGTTACCTTTGTAAATAATATTGATAAGTACAATAAATCACGACTATTTTACTGCAATATTTTATAAATCTTTTTTTTTTAAATAACAAAGTTTTTACAATATTTTCGAATATTATAAAGAAAATAGGCTCGTTTATGTAAGATTTTACTTAAATATAGTCCAATCGTCTAATCGACAACAAAAAGTGCTTGATAATCGCGTTCACCGTGAACCTAAATCCCTGTCACCATCTTGCGCGTCGTGAACTTTTTACAAGTTATAGTCCAATATAGTCCAATCGCCCCGACAACGTGAAGTGCTTGATAATCGCGTTCACTGTGAACCTAAATTCCTGTCACCGTAGCCGTGAACTTTTTTCAAGTTAACTGTTGAATATAAAGTTAAGACACTATAGTGTGATATCAATAAAAGACCACAGGTGAACACGAATTCAGTGCAAAATTTTTTCAGTGTACGTCATAATTAATGTACGTAACATTTTAGAGCTTCTTTTTTTTTTGTCACCGAACTAGCCGCGCTGGCCAACATCGACCCGATGTACCAGTACTCGCTGGCCTGGTTCGTGAATCTGTTCAAGAGCACGATCGACAACACGCCGCCCGTGAACAAGATCGAGCAGCGCCTCGACGACCTGCGCAAGTCCTTCACGTACTCGCTCTACGTCAACATCTGCCGCTCGCTCTTCGAGAAGGACAAGCTCCTCTTCTCCCTCGTACTGCTGGTCAATCTGCTCGGCAAGGAGGGCAAGATGTCCAGCGCCCAGTGGATGTTCTTCCTCACGGGCGGCGTCGGCCTCGAGAATCCCCATCCCAATCCGGCCCAGTGGCTGCCCGTCAAGTCCTGGGACGAGATCTGCCGCCTCAACGACGTTCCCGGCTTCGAGGTATCGAGATCGACGCGGGGAGCTTGCGAGTCGAAATTTTACGACTTTTTTCGTAGGGTATACGCAAAGCCTTCGTGACGAACATCGACGTCTGGAAGGAGATCTTCGATCACCGCGAGCCCCACACCGTGGAGCTACCGCCGCCCTACGACAGGCTCACGCGCTTCGAGAAGCTGCTGCCGCTGCGCTGCCTGCGCTACGACAAAGTCGTGCCCGCGGTTCAGAACTTTATCGAGGGTACGCTTTCTTTTTTTCTTTGTACCTTTTGGCGTTACTTTTTGCACATACTACTAGTGCGTCCCCGGTCCGTGTAAGGCGTTGTAAATTATTTCTGCAAATTCGTTACATCCTTCCGGGTGCTTGTAACGTAATTTCATTTGCGTACGTAAGAGAGTGCGAGAAAAAGCTTTATACGCCAATATTCAAAGATCCTCTCTTTTTCTCTCTCTCTCTTAAGAAGAATAAGAAGAAGTCACGGCTAAGTTTTTCAGCGAAAAATTCTCAACGCAAGCTGGAAAAACTTTTTTCAAGCTTTCAAGAGATAAAGCCCGGCAGCGCGAGGGCGCGTTTGAGTAAGAGTGAGAGGAAGAGAGAGAGTGGCTGCTCGGGTCTCTAAGTAAAAATTCGTGTTATGCCCTGCACACACGCATACACACACACAAGCGCCCATATAGGCTATACATTTTCACGAGGGGCACTAAATCAAAGATGACTATTACGTTTTTTCGTTATCCATCGTTCTGTGCTGCTTTTCTGTGTGTGCCGTTCTCGTTTCTCGTCGTGCTGCTGCTGCTCGCTCGCTCGCTCGACGAAAGGCAATTTTTTCTCGCCTCAGCGACGGTAATTTTCCCTCCCGTAAGCGTCGCGCGCGATGCGTGCAACGAAAATAAAAATGCCGTAGCAGACCTCCTGCTTTTCTCTCTCTCTCTGGCTCTTTTGCGGACACGACGACGACGACGACGACTGCTGCTGCTGCTGCTGTGTACGTGTGTGTGGTGGCTTTTCTCCGGAAATTTTTGTGGTTGCGGACTCGGGACTACTGCCTTGCTGCAGGTCACCGCACCGAGAGTCGTCGTCGTCGTCGTTTGCACGCGATGATAAATCGGTCGTAAGTCCGGACCGTGGCCATTAGTTGCGAATTAGCTCGGCGCAAAGGACTATTCGTAGCCCTCTCTCTTTATATATATACGCGTATATTTATAGGGCAGCCCTGAGCGCGCGGGGGGATAGAACGGAGGTAAACAAGATGTGCTCGAGAGCGCGCGCGGCGTTTTTTCTCATTTAAAGGTCCGTTCCTTTTTTTCGCTCGAAAAAAGAAAAGAAGAGAAAAAGAAATAAGAAAAAAGGTAGAGGCGAGAAATAAAGAAACGAGCTGTCGCGATAACTCGCATTGTTATCAAATGGATTTTTTTCCGCTAGCCTAGGCGGAGAGTAAGTTCGAGCCTAAGAATTCGGACAAAAATGTTTTCCTCTCCCAGCTCTCGCGCGCAGAATCGTTATGATGTAGCCCTCAGCAGCTCTCTCCCAGCATTCGGTTTTCCATTGAAGCGAAAACGGGTGAACGCTCGCGGAACTTTAGTTGGATTTTGTCATCGGGCGTTTCTCTCTCTCTCTCTCTCTCTCTCTCTCTCTCTCGAGAATGGACAAAGTTTGATGAAATAAAGTTTCACTTGAGAGTTGCGTTGCCCGCCTTGATAACTTGCCAAAGTTATAAACGCGCGCGCCCGCCTGCATGTATGAAGTCTCTCTCTCTCTCTTTCACTATCCTATGTTTACACTGTAATATATTTGGTATGTGCTCCGTATAAACGCGGTATAAACTTTTGCCGAGGAAAAATCGTGTGCCCGCCCGCGCGCGCGACATTTGCCAATAATTTCTGCTCTCTTACTCTCTCTTGCGCATGTATAAACACAGCCGAGATGGGCAAGCAGTACGTGGAGCCGCCTCCGTTCGATCTCACCTCGTCGTACGGCGACTCGTTCAGCTGCATACCGCTGATCTTCGTGCTGACGCCGGGCGCCGATCCCACGGCGATTCTGCTCAAGTTCGCCGACGATCAGGGCTTCGGCGGGCCCCGGCTGAACTCGCTGTCGCTGGGCCAGGGCCAGGGGCCCATCGCCGAGAGCCTCATCGACGAGGCCGTGAAGACAGGAACCTGGGTCGTGCTGCAGAACTGCCATCTGGCCAAGAGCTGGATGGGTACGCTGGAGAAGGTATGATAAAAACGAAGTTTAATTTTTATTTTATTTTGTTAATGCGTACACGCACCTCGATGCACATCGTCTTTTTATCGGTACAGATATGCGAGAGCTTCACCCCCGAATCGGTCCATCCGGACTTCCGATTGTGGCTGACGAGCTATCCGTCGGAGCACTTTCCCGTCAGCGTGCTGCAGAACGGCGTGAAAATGACCAACGAGCCGCCCACCGGTCTCAGATCCAATATCATCCGTTCCTACTTGCAGGTATACACACACTTAAACTTCTTACTCGCAGAAATTTATCGAAACTTTTCTCTTTTTTTTTTTTATATAACATCGCGGTTAATTACGTCGAGGCCTTTGCGCGCGAACCTGAGCTCGTTATAGAGACGAACTCGAGTGAGCTTTCATCGCTCGCGAGGTCGCGAAAATTCGCTAGAGAGAGAGAGCGAGCTATGGCAAAAAAGTAACGCTCTCTCTCTCTCCTTTTATCGAAGTTTAATGAAGTAAAACTTTCTTCTTCTTTTTTTTTTGCTGCTGCTGCTGCTTGTGCTTTTCTCTTTCTTGCTGCTGCTGCCGCCGCTGCCCCCACTCCACACCCAGGATCCTATATGCGATCCGGAATTCTTTGAAGCGCCAAAGCAAAAGGACAACTTCAAGAAGCTCCTCTTTGCTTTGTGCTTTTTCCACGCGATTGTGCAGGAGCGCAGAAAATTCGGGCCAATTGGTTGGAATAACCGGTATGAATTCAACGAAACCGATCTACGCATCAGTGCGCTCCAGCTGAGAATTTTCCTCGCCCAGTACGAGGACGTTCAATTTCAAGCGCTGAAATACCTCACAGGTAACGTGTATGGAACGCGCCGTACTCGCATACGAGCATTATTATGATGTATCCATCGGAAAAATATTTCCCATGTACGTACACCGGTATCGGATACGTACGTATATATATACCTTTTTTTACCTTTATCTGCGTTCGAAACAAAAGTTACAAGCGTACGGATTCGGAAAAATCACTTATTGACAGTATTTCCATTCGCTCGTCCAGTTCCATACGTATAAAATAATAGTGCATCGTTCGACGTTTCCGAATTATACATTATATTTTATTTTACATTTCAATCCGTCACGAAACGAATAATTTGTCCAAATTTTTTTCCGATTCTCGAACAATGCAAGCGCGCGAGCGCGTCGTTTATGACTTGTTCTCTTTTGTAAACTTGAAAAAAAAACAGGTGATGAAGAAGTCAATGCAACGATAAAAGGAAACAGAAAGAAAGAAAGGAGAGAAAAAAAATTGCAGATGAAATTTATACGTTAGTCGGCATGACTTGCATTAAACAGCCTGGACGAGCTTAAAATATGTATGTACGCGCGCGCGCGCGTGTATACGAGGGCGCACACGTGCGCGAAAAGAAAAGAGATCCGCTACGCCGCCCCCTCGCCTACCTACCCCCCTGTCGTAATATATGTAGGTGTATATACATGGTACGTAGGTGTGTAACACACGGGGCCACACGTGATACAGAGCGAGTCGCGGGACACAAAAGAGAGTATATATAGGAGTCAGAAGAGGCAGCGCGAAAGTTAGGCGAGACGCGTATAAGAAGGGTCAGATGTCAGTATCAGTAGTACAGGCACACACGTATACAAAGACAGACGGACGCGCACTCGAGCAGTGTAGCTTATGTCCGAGTCGCAATTAAATTACAAGCCGCTTCTTTCCTCCTTTCTCGTCGGCGAAAAAAAAAATAAAAGGCGAATGCAATTACGGCGGCCGCGTGACCGACGAGTGGGACCGGCGCACCCTCGTCACCATCCTGGCCAGATACTATCGCGAGGACGTCATACTGAGCGCCGACGAATTCGAGGACGACGACGACGGCAACGACGACAACGGCCAAGTCGATGCTAATGAGGAAGGCGGCGGCGGCGGCGGCGGTGGCGAGACGAAGCCGAAGAAGACGCCGCGCGGCAAGCCCAAGTGCTTCTTCGACGAGAGCGGCCTGTACTACGTGCCCCAGGTGAGCGGCCACGCCCAGTTCTTGGACTACGTCAAGTCGCTGCCGATGATGGCCGGCCCGTCGGTCTTCGGCATGGCCGAGAACGCCGACATCGTCAAGGACCAGCAGGACAGCGACCTCATGCTCGCCTCCATACTGCTTACCCAGGTAACAATAATAATAATAATAATAATAATAGTAATTGTAATAATAATCCAAACGTCGACCGTCCGTATATGATACAACGCGTGCGATGCTAATCGCTCCTATCTTTTGGCATAATCTCTCTCCCTCTATACGTATCTCTTTTTGCTTTTCCAAGCCTCGCGAGCGTATACGGATGAGCTCTCGACTCTGGACCAAGGGATTAAGCTAGCTCACGCAGTCGAAATTCGGCGTGGTAGAATTCACTTTCAAATCCGACCGTCGAGCTTTTGACCAGTCGTCTCTGTCCCCTGCACCCCCTCGGTCCTATAACGAGCTTTTGACGTGAAATTTCTTACTTGACGTTTGGCGGGGTGATGAAACTCCGCGAAAAGCGCGATAATCGTAGTTTTCGCAAATTGTGATTGGCCAACGTCCCAGAGTCAACTCATGCCTTTATTCTGCGACGAGTATACAGAAGAGAGGGGCGAGCGTTGCCACGCGGTCAATTTTTCACGTAGACCCTTAAACGTCTGAAATGCCGAAACATGGCTTTTCTCTAATTTTCATGAATTTTCCATGTTTATTCATCCTGCGCACGTTTTGCCCGTTGGTCAACCGATGACCAAATTTGAGAAAAAGTTGTATTTTAATTATCGAAAGGACACATTCCCAAATTGGCGCATACGAAGGATACGGATATGTCACGGTCATGTCACGAACAAGTCACTCTCTAAGAACAGAAGAAAATTAATAAAATTTTAAGCTGTGATCGATGAGATGTATATAGTGTATACTTTACTTGATTTACATTGTGCTACTTGTAACACGGTTTAGCGGCTTCGGTACCAAAATTCAAAACTTGCAAATAAACCGAAAGAAAATAAAAACATTAATCTAAATTAAATTCAATTGATAATTTGATTAAAGTTATAATAAGCGTGACTTTAATCATGAATGAAATAACGAATAGAATAAAAAAAACTCTAATTCCGGCCCTTCATGAAATTTGGTACATAAGATTTGATAAACGCAAACCAATAGTCGTAACAGTGATGTGCGCTAGGCGTTGGAAACAATCATTTTTAGAATTCAATTTTTTAGGTGTGTAGCTGGATTACACAAAAAAAAATAATAAATGAGACAAAGAAATTGAAACAATATTAGAATGTTCAGCCACTATGATAAATGACCATCCGTACATAAAAATTTAGTTTCTAGGGCTACATAGGGATATCTAATTATAAAATGATAGTATATCAACAGCTGAACCCGTGTTTTGATTGTAAACAAAATATAAACATTAACGATTTTCACAGCGTTCCTTGAACACTGAACATGTTTAATGTTTATAGTCAATACATATTAGTATAAGTGTTGTCTTTTCTGATGATATAAGAAACAGTACCAGGAGATAAATTTTACCAATTCATTATTCGTGGCATTAAATATAAGCATCGATCGTTTAATTGAGTTATCAAAATGGATAAAACTGAGAACAAATCTGGAACGATTGTCTCAAAGGATAGCTCAAATATAGTTTCAGTCGATAAAGGACACGTCTGCGATATTTGTCAGGAGTCATTTACACTAGAATCAAGCTTGATAACGCATCGAGACACAATTCATAATGACGAAAAAAGTTACGCTTGCGACAAATGCGAAAAGAAATTCGAGTTCCGAAGTCACTTGAGTAGACACCATATATCAGAACACAAAGGCTGCAGCAATTTTGCATGCGACGACTGCAAGAAGACATTTGTGAAAAAATCAAGTTTATTTACGCATCAAAAATTAGTACATAAAGATCGCGAAAATTTCACGTGCAACAAATGCGAGAAAAAATTTGAAAATAAGTCAACATTTCTCAAGCATAAAAAAATATTCCACGAAGTTTTCAAAGATTACTTGTGTGAAAGGTGCGCCAAGAGATTTGGAAATAAGAAGAGTTTACTCTTGCACATAAAGGAAGTACATGACGGTCGTAACAACTTCACCCGTGATGAGCGCGAAAAAAAATTTGGATTAAAATCAGATTTGATCATGCGCCGAAATACAGTTTATGATGATTGTAAACATTACTCATGTGACATATGCATGAAAAAATTTGGACGAAAATCGGATTTGTTCAGACACCAAAGAACAGTTCATGAAGGTCGCAAAGATTTCGCATGCGATAAATGCGAGAACAAATTTGGACAAAAATCAGATTTGCTACAGCACCAGAGGACAGTACACGAGGGTCGCAAGGATTACGCATGCGACGAGTGCGAGAAAAAATTTGTGAATCGAAGAAATTTGATAATACACCAAAAGGCAGTGCACGAAGGTCGAAAAGATTACGCATGTGATAAATGCGATAAAAAATTTGGGATTCAAAGCAATTTGATAACACACCGAAAAACAATCCACGAAAGTCGCAAAGATTTTCCATGCGACCATTGCGAGAAAAAATTTGGACGAAAATCGGATTTGTTCAGACACCAAAGAACAGTCCATGAAGGCCGCAAAGATTACGCATGCGATGAATGCGAGAAGGTATTTGGACAAAAAGGAAATTTACTCATTCACCTAAGGACAGTCCATGAAAGTCGAAAAGATTTCGCATGCGACAAATGCGAGAAAAAATTTAGATGCAAATCAAATTTGATCGACCACCATAAGACAGTACACGAAGGCCGGAAAGATTTCGCATGCGATAATTGTAAGAAGAAGTTTGGAAGTAAGTCTAATTTGTTAAAACACCAAAAGTTTGTCCATGAGGGTCGCAAAGATTACGCATGCGACAAATGCGAGAAAAAATTTAGGATTCGAAGCAATTTGATAGTACACCAAAAAGCAGTGCACGAAGGTCAAAAAGATTACGCATGTGACAAATGCGAGAAAAACTTTGGATACAAATGTTATTTGCTTTCCCACCAAAAGACAGTCCATGAAGGTCACAAAGATTATGCATGCGACAAGTGCGAGAATAAATTTAGTCAGAGAGGAAATTTGATCAGGCACCAATTGACAGTACACGAAGGTCGCAAGGATTATATATGTTCGAAGTGTGGAAAAAGATTTGGAGATGAAGGACCATTGCGCAGACACCAAAGAACAGTCCACGAAGGTCGAAAAGATTATGAATGTGACAAATGCGACAAAAAATTTGGACTTAAACATCATTTGCTTTCGCACCAAAAAACAGTCCATGAAGATCGCGAAGATTTCGACTCGTCAAAGGCAAAAAAAGATGATAATTGACAATTAAAAATGTATATAAATACTTTAACACATGTTTTCTAAATTTCTGAACCTTAGACGTTCAAATGTTATAACATTTTCGTTTACTGTCGCGCTGGTGCTTCATTGTTAATCTAAACAAAATTTTGGGAACTGCTAATTATTATTCTCCGCATATTTTTCGGCTACTTGATTTATAACATTCTATAACAGTTTAATAGACTTGTAACATTTAATAAATGTAAGATACTCATAGATTTTTGTTGACTAAAAAGGGGCCACAAGCTAGTTACCTTCGATTCGAGCTATAATGAATATTTTTTCTCTCATTTGCAATCTCAGCTATTCGACAGAGTTCCAAAATTATCAAAATAACTGTAAACATTAAATTTAGAAATGATAATTAAAGCAAAATCAAAATTTGCAATTCATCCCAGAAAATCAATTTTGTTCATGTACTGTTTGAACATATTCAAAGTATAATTATTTAATGTAGGCGTGAAAAATATTTTTAATGTCACATCGTAAACCTATTCAGCTGCAGTGGTGGATTGTAGAACACGCCAATCACACCATGACGTGGAGGCGGCAAATTTTGTAAGGAATATTAAAATCTGTTTTTATACATGTGTAAGGATCTTTTTATACAATTTTTTTTGTGAAATCGGTATTATGTGTCAAACGTTTATTTGGAAGTAGTTAGTTTTAGAAGACCGAGAAATCATCGAAGGTATCGTCGCAAAGTTAGAATTTTTAATTGTTTCGAATGTTGTGAGAACAATGTATATTCGAAAAATCGGTACCTTGAATGTAAACAATATGATTGATAATATGACAAACGATTTTGATACAGTTTTTCAAAACGCTGATCATGTTTATAGTAAAAACAAATTAATTTGAATTTTGTCTTTTCCGGTGAAACAAGTCATAAATCCAAAAGATAAATTTCACTCATTTAATTTCTATGGGACTAAATAGAAGGATCCATCGTTAAATTTAGACCTTAAAATGGATAAAAGTGATGAGAAATCCGAGGAAATTGCCTGCGAAGATAATCTTAGTGAACAAGACATTGTTTTGGACGACAAAAAATACATTTGTGATATTTGTCAGGAGGTATTTACTTTAGAATCAAGCATGATAACTCACCGAGGTACGATTCACAACGGAAAAAAAGATTACTCATGCGACAAGTGCGAAAAGAAATTCGAGTTCCGAAGTCATTTGAGTAGGCACCAAGTATCGGTACACAAAGGCCGCGACGATTTTGCATGTGACCAGTGCGAGAAAAAATTTGTGAAAAAATCAAGTTTGTTCACACATCAAAAACTGGTCCACAAAAGTCGTGAGGATTTCTCATGTGACAAGTGCGAGAGAAAATTTGAAAATAAATCAATTTTACTCAAGCACAAAAAAATATTCCACCAAGTTTTCAAGAATTATTTATGTGAAATGTGCGCCAAGAGATTTGATACTAAACATAGTTTGCTCATGCACTTAAAAACAGTACACGACGGTCGTAAAAATTTCACCTGGGATGAGCGCGAAAAAAAATTTGGATTAAAATCAGATTTGATCAAGCACCGAAGTACAGTATATGATGGTTGTAAAGACTACTCATGTGAAACTTGTAAGAAAAAATTTGGAAAAAAATTAACTTTGATCAGACACCGAAGAATAGTCCATGAAGGCCACAAAGATTACGCATGCGATGAATGCGAGAAGAAATTTGGGAATAAAAGCAATTTGACAAAGCATAAAAAAACAGTTCATGAAGGTCGCAAAGATTTCGCATGCGA